GCTCAGTATACCTTTCCTCCTGAATCACAGGCAAAACAATTTACTAGTTTTCACATTTATAATTCACAGTATGTAAGTAACACAAAGCCAGGCAGACAGGGCAAGTAACAAACCAACAAACTGAAACCAGGAGAAAAACAGTAAAACTATAGCAAAAGGATGAACAGTGCCAGTAAAATTACATAATGATCAATGAAATTTGTCTATATAAAATATCTGACTTAAGAAATTTACACAGAGTATGCAACTATGGTAGATCATTTAAAAAATCAACCTATTATTCTTTTCTACTTTATTTAGAGGGTTGCTCACAATTTTCTTTTCCCCCAAATTTAAAAAAACTATTCACAAATCAAATGAGCTGTGCTACTGAATATAAAAATTTTATATAAAGAATAGGGTGAATCTGCACAACAATCAGGGATAGAAATATTTAGTGATACATTTGTGACTATTAATCATTGTAAATTCTATATCATAATAAACATAGCTTCCTTCTAGTTGTATAATAGGATCTTTGCAAATTGCTTGTTATAACCAGGCTCAGATATTAAAACAAACTCCATTAATGCCAAACACTGGAATTATTTAGTGCATGAAGCAGTGCTGTGGTGCTTTGTTCTGTCTTTGGTTCCAACCACGTGCCACTATTCCCTTCTTCCTCTTACCAAAAGGATCAATAATTTGTCAAATCCAGAAATACCACACATTTTGAATTCAAAGATAATGTACCCAAGAAGGCACTAATTCTTTAAGGTAGAAATCCATGCCAAAACAAAAATTCTAAACTCCTTAACCATAGTTATATAGAGAACTGCTTGTGATTGGATGCTTAAAAAAGGAGTGTCCACCATTTATGCCCATATATCTGGTTCTGGAGTTTAGTTGAGGCCTCATAATAATGTGTGTACAACCTGGGTGGCTCAGTTGTAAGCGATGACTCTTGATTTTGGCTCAGGTCATGATCTCAGGGTCGTGAGATTGAGCCTGGCCATGAGCCCGTGTGGAGCCCTGTTGGGCTCCATGCTGGATTCTCTCTCTCCCACTCCCTCTGTCCCCCCCACACCCCCTGCCCTCTCTTAAAAAAATTTTTTTTTAAATGAAGATTTACATGATAAAGACAGATGCTGTTCAAGGTGCTATATACAAGTCCTCAATGCTACTCCTTTTACCCTGAATCACTGTCATATTAGCTCTATGAAGAGTCTTCTCCCCAGGCCTTCTAGTTTAAAGGCCTTACCTTCCACTGTAAAAATCAAGATCAAATTTATTCTTTCTACTGTTAATAGTGGAAATTCTGGCCAATGCAATAAATACTGGAAAGGAGACAAAATTATTATTTATAGATAATGTTACTTAAAACCTAGAAGTCCCAAGATAATTACTTGGAAAACTATTATTATTATTTTTTTTTTAGGATTTTATTTATTTGCAAGAGAGAGAATGAGAGACAGAGAGCATGAGAGGGAGGAGGGTCAGAGGGAGAAGCAGACTCCCTGCCGAGCAGGGAGC